AAGGCAGATAATTTGATTGATTTGAGAAGAAAACAAACAGGACTGAACCTCAGAAGCTTTAGGTACTAATGCCAGTCTGGTCACTCACTGACTTTATATGAAACAATAGCATTGATTAAAGCTTTCATTTTCACTAAGACACCTCAACTGTTTACCAAATATGGTAAGAGGAACAAAGAGAATCATTATTCTGTACATTAGATCAAAGTAATTCCTACTCCTATTTTTACTCACATATAAGCTCATGTGCATTAATATAATAAAAGAGAAGAGCTTAATATTCATATTTTTCAATTTGTTAAAATAGAAGTCCAACTAAATCCTAATTGTTCAAAAACTTTCCAGTATCTAATATAGAAAACCATTCTCTTCCAAGAGTATGTATTATCTTGTTCCTTTGTCATCTGTAGGAAAAATATTGTTGATATTGTTGTCATGTACTCATAAATGCTATCTAACTCCATCCTCCAGATCCATAAAACACAAAACCTTGCCTATAGGAAAAGTGTGGACCATTACTAAGGGAAATTTTCCTGCTATTATCTGTCTCCTAATGAAAATCCTACAAGAGTACTCTACGGATTTACTAAAGTAGAATTGAATCCTTAAAGGAAACTAAAAGAACTACATAAGTCCTTAGGAGTCTGACCTTTCCCTCTAACTTTTTCAACTCTACTCAAAGCCTGTTTACTAGAATCACACTCCATTTACAATTATAAGGAGAGATGAAGTTCATCAAACAGCCTACACATGTGTCTCAGTAACTATTAAAAACAGACTAATTGACAGTTGACGTTTCCCACGATAAACTACCTTAATTCATTTAAGGAAGTGAAAATAAGAACTATATCACAAGTCTGTGAACTATCATTTTCTTGACTTTAAGGAGAAATTACAGAACAATTGAAGAACCTATCTGGTTATAACAGTGATTCAGTGGTTTCGAATTTCGAATCAATATATCTTGATTTGGCTCTCAGCATTTTAGGTATACTTATTTTAAAAATGTTTTGTAAAATTATGATGTGATGTTCCAAATTTACAACTACTAAACAAAGAAATTATAAGACTACTTTGGAGTTAGAGATGTGACTTGGTAGAATAGAACTTGCCTACCATGATGTAGTCCCCTATGTCACATTCACAAAAGAAAAAAGAAGGTCTCTACTAGCACCTTAAGAAAAGCACACAACAATGTGATTTGGAATCTAAAGTACCAAACTATCTGTGGGTACTTTTAAGATGATAATTACGTAAGTTTTAACATTATGATAATTTTTTTAGACAATGCTCCTCTCTCATTTTACTTACAAATAATTTTTCTGTTTTCATGATTTTCACACATTCATATCTGTTAAATAATTTTTTATTTATCTGTCTGATTTTTTTCCTTCTTGTCTTTACTAAAAACAATTGTACACCTAACTGCAAAATTAATTCTGTTTATTCTGCTATAATAATTCTTATCAAACCAGCCATTTATTGTTCATCCAAGCATACATTAAATAGTAATGCTATATTAACGGAATGTGCCATTTCAATTTTAGCTTCAGTTTTGAGAACCTCAGGGAGATTGGCTTCTTTTGAAAACTAACCCATGAGAAGGATAAAGTGTGAAAATTCCAAGAATCTGGGATAGATTCTATTCCCCATGGCCACTGTTTCAGAGTTTCCTGACCACTCCCTCCCCCCCAAAAAAAATAATTACCTAAGATTGGTGAAAGCCCATCCTGGGCCCTACAATTGGTAGCTGATATTCAAAGATGAGTATAAATTATACTGACCTATACAAACACATAGCAACCATGCACTAGGAATCATTCTTAACTTCTTAAAATTTTTACCGGTAAAGAAACATGATTATGCCTTTAATACCAGCACTTGTGATGCAAAGGCAGGCATATCTCTATGATCATGAGGTCAAGCTAGTCTACAAAATGAATTCCAAGACAGCCATGGCTACACAAAGAAACCCTGTCTTGAGAAACCAATATAATACTAATATTAAATTTTACCTGGAACAATGAGACAGAATTGATTATTCTACACATTTTAAATGTGCTTTGAAACATATATGTAATACCCATAAAGGAAAAATCGTTTGAAGACTGTTAAAATCCAAACTACACAAAATCACAACCATATACGAATATTTTATTCAAATATTGAAGTAAGCAGATATGATGTCACAATAAAGCAGCACACCAAAAAACAACATCTTTTTGGGTTTTTTATGATTTTATAATGTTATTTTTAATTTTTGAGTATGTGATAACATTTTCCTTTGATCACATACATTCATCCCTATTGCCCTATTGCCCAACGCCTCACATGTCATAACCATCCTTTTTTTGTGTTCTTATCTCCCTTTTTAAACCTATTGAGTCCCAGTAGTGTTGGATACACATACAGAGTGTGTGTGTGTGTGTGTGTGTGTGTGTGTGTGTGTGGTGAGTGTGTGTGTGTGTGTGTGTGTGTGTGTGTGTGTGTGTGTGTGTGTGTGTGTGTTTAGTCTTGGTTATACATCTGTTCTCCTTGCTGGTATTTTGTATGGCTTGACTTTACAAAGATCTTGTGTATGCTGTTGCAACCTCTATGCATTCATATGTGTGACTGTGCTATTTAATTGTAAGAACAATATTTACTTGCAGTCATCCACCAGTCTTGATTTTGACAACCTTTCTAAATGATCCTGGAGAGTTATACACAGGGGTCATATGTGATATAAATGTCCCCTCTAGGGCTGAGCTCTCCTAGTCACTTTATATTATGAACATAACACAAATGTGCATGTCAATGGTAATCCTCTTCTACTACATAATAATAGAAAAAAAAAACAACTTATCTGATAAAGTTTGAGAAATGTACTAATGTATAAGCATAGTGAAAAATCACAAGCTATTCATTTAATGCTCTGTCATATTGGAGGATAATAGTTTTAGTTCTAACTTAAACCATAGGACTTGTCTAGACATATCTTATTTATATTTTTATTTATTATTTATTTATTTTCCAGCATGATTGGAAAAATAAGTAATTCCCTCCTCTCCTCTTAATCCCACCCCAACACCCCCTCCCATCCACTCTCCCTCCATTTCTGTTTAGATAATGACAGATCTTCCATGGACTTTGACAAAATATGGCATATCAAGTTGAAGTAAGACTAAGCACCTCACCTTTTTATTAAGGCTGGGCAAGTTACCTAAAGATGGAAAGATCTCCCATGTTCATGAATCAGTAGGATTAACATAGTAAGAATGTACAGATTCAATGCAAGTCCCATTAAAATCTAAACATAATTCTTTACAGCAACACATCCATTATAGCTAAAATAAACCTGTACAATTAAAAAAAACCCTCTGGAGGTCTCACCATCTCAGATTTCAAGCTCTGTTACAGGGCTATAGTAATAAAGACTGCATTGTATTGGCATAAAACCAGACAGGTGATTCAAGGGAATCAAATTGAAGACCCAGATGTAAATCCACACACCAAAGGACACCTAAAATATTTAACTAAGCCAAAATTATTCAACAGAGAAAAGAAAGCATTTACAACAAATGGTGATGACATAACAGGAGGTCGGCATGTAGAAGAATGCAAACAGATCCATATAAATCACTCTGTGCTAAACTCAAGTTCAAGTGGACCAGACCTCAACATAAATCCAGACACACGAAACCTGATAGAAGAGAAAGTGAGGAATAGCCTTGAATGAATTGGAACAGGAGACAACTTCCTGAACAGAACACCAATAGTGCAGACACAAAATCTTTCCTTATTTAATTATTGCATTAATTTCAGGTCATCTTAGTCATGAGTATGAGCATATATATATATATATATGTGTGTGTGTGTGTGTGTATTTTGATGAAATGGAAAAATAAACATAAAAAAGTTGAATCTTTAAGTTTGAAGCTACAAATGTAGTTTACACTAGCCAAACATTCTTGTTTTATATAGTACTACATAATCTTAACACTATAGATATATTTGCTACATAAATGAAATATATGAGATATTACTGTACCTAAGAATATTATCCACAAAATGAATGTTGCCTAAATACACTTTATTCAATTTCCAAGAGCACAAACTTTAATACCAATGTATTTTCATGTGGATGATCTGTATTGAAATGTTAAAATCAAACAAGCCAATAGACAATATATGCAGTATTTTCAGTCTCTACACTACAATAAATCAGTTTTTCCAAAACTTTTGCACATTGTCTTTCAAAATCAAATATCTGAATGATTGCAGTTGATTAGAAAAATAGGGCAGATGTTGATAAGGATAGGAGTGATGAAGAGAAAAGCAAGGTATTTTACATAGTTAATACTACATCTTAAAAGTTGAAGCTACAAAATGAAGAGTAATATGATTTAAAATAACAAGCTATGAAGAGACTGAATTGGTTCACAGAATTAAATAAAGAACAAGTACTTATTCAGAGGGGATTATTAATACACAAAATGTTAATATATAACACACTAAAAAGACTTATAACAAGTTTATAGCACCCTATTTTACAAGAAATAGTATATATTGATCATTTCATTATTCATAAGAGAAATATGAACTGTTAGCCCTGGGATTCATTTCCAATTTGTCAATAAAACACAACGTTGCATAAGATGTATTGTGTTAATTTAGTTTAAATTTCAAATTTTACACATTTTCTTTCATTTTAAGTCAAGGTCATGATTGTAGAGAATCAGAACAGTGTAAAACATTACCAAGAGAATCTCAGAAGTAGATGGCAGCTTGTTATACACTTAGTTACTTAACCTGTGTGCCTTCCTTCCTCTTAGCCTTAAAAACAGCAGACAATGATATGCCAGAGTTAATCCTTGTGCCAATAGAGTTAAAAATATCAAGGAGGGTGGGACAGAAGGAGGAATGAAGGAGGGAGTGAGGTAGAGGGAACTGGGATCAATATGCAAAATAAGAAAAAATAAATAAAAAATAACAAGTTTAATTCAAATGTAACCAACAGATTCTCCATTTTCCCTTAATCTTTCCTCTACCTTTCCTACAAAAGTCATCCAAATCATATTTTTATAGTTTCTCTTAATCTACATATGAAAATGGTGTATGCATATACAAAAAGAATATCCCAGGATATTTTGATTGTCATTGTAAATTATCTTGTATACCACAAATAAGATACAGCTTCTATGACCTCTTCAGTAGCTTACAATTATGAACTCCTAATACCACTTTTGTGTTAAACCAGGCTTACATACAGAGAGAGCATACCAACTTGAATGTAGTAACTACTGAAGGTGTCAAAACAGAAAGAAAACATAAATGGTCATAATTCTCAGGTATTCTACATCATCTCCTACAAGTATTTAGATGTACAAAGATAAAATCATTTTCCCAAAAAGAAACACCACCACAAAGGAAATTCAGTGAAACATAAAAAACAATAGACCACTAATTGTGGTCTCTTATTTGATCCAGCCAATCTTTAGTTGATTCTCACTATAGATGTCACACAAGTTCCCGACTGGTCTGGTTTGATATTTGTAAATTAGGCGTGCTTAATTCACTACTATTTCTGTGGGAAACATTATGAAGATTACAGAGTGCTAATGAGTGGAGGAGGGCTTCTCGCGCTTTGGACGCCTCTATGTTCTGCTCTTGAGAGATTTGAAGGCTGATTTGATTAACATTATTCATCAGCATATTAGAAGTCATGAAGTTGCTTATAGAGATGCACCTGGTAAGATTTTCTTCCAAAAACTGTTTGTAGAGTTCATCCACCTTTTTTTCCATATAACTATTAAGCATAGAATTAGAGAGAGGTTGCTTCTGTGATAGCATGCTTTTTTCTCGAATCTCATCCCCATTTAATAATTTTGAACTGGATGTTTTCTCTAGAGGCTCAGTTTTAGGAGAATGGCCCAATGGTATATCCACTGAAAGTAAAAGAGGCCCATTACAAACATCATCATGCGTGTGTTCTACAAAGCAGCCAGAATCATACATGTTTCTAACATGATCACCTCCTATCTGAAGGTCAGGATAATTCTGGCAAATACTTGTACATGACCAAGATCTATATAAATCCAGTTGTGTTTCATCATGACCCCTCTTTGGAATGGGCAATGCAATGGATACATTTCCTGGAAGAGGTGTACTTTTGAATTTTGTGACAGGTGACTCATCCACAGATTTCGTTTTAGATGTACTATTATCTTGTTCAGTTAGACTTCCTTCTATGACTTTCTCTTGATTTCCCATCTTTAGAGGGGGAGATGAATTGTCCTGTATATCTAAAAAATTATTTTCCCAATTTTCCTTTTCATCTGATGTTTTCTTACATCTTAGTGGTTTGCAAATTTTTGCGTGTTTCTGCTCTTTGTAAAGGAATTCTGTTAGGAAGGCTTCTCCAAGCATTTTCTTAGGCAAGTTCTTCTAAAAGTATGAGAGGATTGTATTCCTACAATATAAAACAACTAATTAAGGCAATTTACATTACAAGTTAAATAGAGTTTTCTCCTGTATGCACCATGTTTTAGGGGAAAACTGTTGCTTAAAGAATAGAGAATAAGACTAGAAATACCTTGATTCTTTTTTACCACTGTTTAACAATTGGTAGTTTACTTATTTTTTGGCTCCCAATTTTCTCAACAGCTAAATGATAATATTACACCCCTGCCTTTTTTCATTGGGGCTATTGTGAGACTATTACAGAGCACCTAAGCAAGTATTTAAAAAGCACAAACTCAGGGATATATATAACTCTCTATATTTGGATATCTTCTAGTATTTACTTATGCAGTACTAAAATTCTTAGCATTTTATTGTCCAAACATCAGCTTAAAATAAAAATGTGCACTTACAAAAATTTTATGAACTAAACTATATACATAGCTATCTATTATTTCAATAATGTATGTAGGTCTCTCAAACTTCCTAATACTTTTTCTGTCCATTATTTCTAATTTTTTTCCTCTTTTTAACTCAGATCTTTCTTCCTTATTTACACGACCCATTAATACAATTTTAAAAGTTTAAAATTTCCCTATAAACCCCCATATAAAAGCCGAGGCATGTTGGTTCACATTTGTAATCCTGGCTGAGAGCACCCTGTGGGAATAGTATCATAAATTCAAGGTTAGCCTGGGCTAAATGGCAAGATCTGCCTCTTACATACAAAAATAAAAGCAAACTATATAAGAATGAAAACTATCATTCAACTTCATTTAAAATAGAGCTTTCATCTCACAAGTCTATGGTATATACTATACATGTTTCCAGAAAACCCATTTATGTTAATGTTTGAAAGAATTTGAGAAGAAAATGAAACAACACATGTCAAACTAAGTAAGAGTTTATACTTACAAGTTTTTCCAAATATCAGGATACCTAAGGATTTGGTCTTCTGAGATGCCAGCACTCCACACTCAGAAAACGATCTTTCTGCCTGGTTTGTGTCTCAATGTCTGCTTACATCTTACAAAGGAGAACAACTTTAGACACATTAATTGGTTCTGCTTTCCATTCATACCCCAGGACTGAAACCCTGATAGGAAAATTATGTGGGTTGGTCACATGTGTGGTATGGTAATGACCATTTACCAAAAGAGGATATGAAAGTGTTTATTCAAGTTCCCAATGACAGGGAGTGGGAAAACATTAAAAGCAACAGAGTTCTTCATATATGTCAAGACAGAGACAAGATTATTTTCACTTTTAAGTAGGACAAGAGTGGAAGAGTCTCAGCATTTTTTGTAAAAATGATTAATTTGAAATAAACCAAATGAGTATCAAAAAGAAAATGAATAAATAAATTGTGATGCACCATGACATGAAATATTAAAGTAAGCATTTTATTAAAAATATTTTCATTGATTCTTTCAGGGCTTACACCCTTTAAAAAAAACTCTCTCCCTTAGCCAGAAGCCACCAACTGTCAACAAGGTCTACAGTTATGGTTGGGGAGGAAGTCGTTAGTCACACTACCCCTCATGTTAAAATATTGACTAGCTTGATGTTGTACAGGTCACCCCAGCTGTCATAAGTGTACTGACCATGTCTTGTCTAGAAGATTTTATTTTTCCCCTGCCCTTTCCTAACCTCTAGACCTTACAATCTTTCCATACCCTCTTACATGATGGTCTCTGAGGAAAAAAGAGCATTTCTAATGCTTTTATGATACTAAACTGAGTGTTGCTTTGTTTATTTTGTTGTTGTTATTGTTTACAACAGGTAGCACTGGCTATCCCATGTTATGGAGAACAGACTGGTCTTAAACTTGTGGCAATCCTCTTGACTCTGCCTCCCAAGAATTGGGAATATAGACATGTGTCAACACATTTGGCTATATGTCAATCATTCTAAATTGTCATATAGATTATTAATGTAAGAAACAAATTATTATCCATTTTATAGAGGAAACAACAGCAGAGAAAGGGGTTATGCATTTGTTGACAGTCACAAAAATAATGAATAATAGAATTAGGATTTTCAGCAAGCAGTTGGATTAAGAACACTGCAGTGTGTGTTATGTATATGAGTAAAGTATGTGCAATGCAGGGGTATGAATATACACAGCTTGACTCCAACATGAATTGTGTGTGTAATGTGTCAAACACTATTCAGAATATTCCAAACACACAGTAGTTTAATCTTCATAAAATTCCAGGAAATAAATATTGTTTTTTCTTATGAAAGAAATGAAGCACAGAAAGAAGTTAGGCAACATGTTCAGTTTCAGAGAAGTATAAGGAGTAGTCTGGGCTTTAATTCAAGTAGTTTAGAACTTTCATGTTTAATATCCTTGCTGAATTAATCTTTGCTTTTCATTGCCTTAATGTATGTCAACATACTGGTAAAAAGTGATACAATTCAATTTGTTTATATCAGTTTCCTTTGTAGAAGAAGTGGCAAGAAATGGGTAAAAGGATAATTGTACAGCTTACTTTCTATATTTCTATATGATTTGAACACTTTTATAATTATTGTGTATCTGTGTTTTACGGGGAAGAGTAAAAGACAAAATAATTCACATACACACAAAGTCAAGGGAAAGACTTTTCTATCATTTTTAAAATATGCTTTACCAACCTTACAAAGGTCTTACCCATTTTTGAATGATTCTTTTTTTCTTTTTCCCAGTAACTTGTCCTTGAACTTAAATTTTGGAGTCAAAGCATTTTTTATTTAATTTATTATTTTACACATTGATCCCAGTTCCCTCTCCCTCCCTCACTCCCTATCTTCCTCCTTCCCTCCCTTCCTCCATCCCTTTTACCCTCTCTGCCATCTCACATGCACCCTAACCACCCTCCCCTCCCATCCCCCAACCACAATTCCATATGTAGGGGAATGCAATCCAGTTGGGGTCATGTAGATCTGACAGGTCATGTGAAGTAGGGACTAGGGCTGCTCTACTGTCTCTAGGTTAAGGCAGTTATCCCTCCATGGGGGATGTGTTAACAAGGTCCTTTTGTGCACCAGGGATACATCCTGGCTCCACTGTCTGAGGTCCCTTAGACTGCTCAGTCCTTCTGGCTGAGACCCATATTCAGGGGGGCCTGAGTCAGTCCCATGCTGGCTTCCCAGCTATCAGTCTGCCCGTTAGCTCCTTCTTGTTCAGGTAAGCTGTCTCTATGTGTTTCTGCCACCTGGTCTTGTCCTCTGCATCTGCATCTGGGTTCTACTTTGACTCAGTATTTATGTATGGGTGTTTGCTCCTGTTTCCAACAGGTATTAGATGAGGGCTCCATGGATAAGTTAGTTGTTGATCTCACTATCAGGGAAGGGCATTTATGGTAGCCTTTCCACGGATGCTTTTTGAATCCTTTTTTAATAACACATAAAAACTGCCAAAGACACACCAGCACAATTTTAATACAGATTATTTTGGGGACTTGAATTAATAATTCATCTTTTTATTGTATTTAATGAAATTAAATACATAAAAAACAACCTAAAGATAGTTTTTATTTTCTAAGTCTTACCAATCAACTCCTTTTAGGTTATCAAAACTATCCTACTGTGAGAAGTACTGCATTACAAGAGCACCCAGTGACATGTCAATATCTCACACTAGAAGGTAAGGGAAGAACTTAGAAGATAAATTCAATCAAAGCCACCAAAAAAGACTATTAAAAGAAAATAGATATTTCAAATTTCATCATTGGATATATTCCATCTACTTCACTTCAACCCTATATGTCTTGGGTCAAAATTGTATCAATGCCCTGTCCTTAAAATGTCTGCCTTTCAAAACTAGCATTGCCTTTCCATACTTGGATTACAATAGCTGATTCTATATCTTGTCCCCCATAACACTTGACATTCTAGTTGATCTAGGTTTTATATAAACCTAAAGTCTTCAAAGACTTCTGCTTACCCATTGTCTAGTGAGATTTTATATATATATATATATATATATATATATATGTGTGTGTGTGTGTGTGTGTGTGTAATTTATATACACATAAATGTATAATTCTGTGCCTCAAAGTATAATATTCTTTTGTATAATCATCTTTTATTTAAATTAAAAATAATCTTATTTTATATATCAATCTCAGTTCCCTCACCCTCCCACCCTCCAGGGCCACCCACCAATCCCCCATCCCATCCCTCTTCTGTACCATAGAAAGGGTGAGGCCTTCCATGGGGAATCTTCAAAATCTTTCATATCATTTGGGGCAGGGCCTAAGCCCTCCCCCATGTGTCTAGGCTGAGAGAGTACCCCTTTATGTGGAATGGGCTCCCAATGTCCATTTGTGCACTAGGGATAAATACTGATTCACTACCAGAGGCTCCATAGACTGCCCAGGTCCCCTGACTGACACCCACATTCAGGGGGCCTGATTCCATCCTATGCTGGTTTCCCAGCTGTCAGACTGGGATTCCTGAGCTCCCACTTGCTCAGGTCAGCTGTTTCTGTGGGTTTCCCAAGCATGGTCTGATGCCTTTGCTCATCACTCCTTCCTCTCTACAACTGGATTCCAGGAGTTCAGCTCAGTGATTAGCTATAGGTATCTGCTTCTGCTTCCATCAGCTACTGGATGAAGGCTCTATGATGGCATATAAATTAGTCATCAATCTCATTATAGGGGAAGGGCATATACTTAGACAAGGTTTTCATTTGAGCATCACAGCAAATCTTAAAGTTATCATTACCTGCAATTTTATACAATAGTACAAAGTTTCAAAAATATTAAAAAATCAAATCCAATGTGAAACCAGACTTGATTTCCCTGGCTCATCCCAGTTTCCACCTTTTAATTTCTCTATGTGCTCCTAAATCTCAAGTAACCAGATTACTTAACTGTGGAGACAAAAAGCCAGAAATTATCATGTTTAACAACCCTGTCATCTAACTTGGAGCCTATTATCAGTGATGTTTTATGTAAATATTTGGAGCCTAACTTTTACTGACCAGTGAAAATTGAACCAAAATGACCAGTTTCAGGAAAGATAAGTTACTCTGCAAAATTTGCTACTATGGACATATTGTACTAATAGCCCTTGAGATAAGACCAAGAACTTCCCTCTCAACTGCTGTGAAACTCCCACATACTCTTAAGCCTGTGATCTCTTTGCCATGAAATCATCAACTGTATCTTTGCAGTGTTATTTCAAAAACTCCTCTCTCTTACTGTCTGTTTTTATCTCTGGTAAATATCATTGATAAACACATTTACAGCCTGCACATTACTGGCTTTTTCAGATGCTATCTCAAACACAACATTCATGACTGTTCCTTCTACTTTAAAATGGTTTGTTCTCATAGTTTTCTAGCACTATATATGCCTCAAGTTTGTTATGTTCTGTTATTCAATTTATGAATTCTCACTCAGTTCCTTGAAAAGAAATACTTTCTCTTATCCATTGATGTGATCTCTAGCAGTACACAGAATCTGGTACCCATCATTAGTAATTGCTGTACAACCTACAAGGAAGCCTCACACTTTCACATAATCAATTCCCTTAATCTTTAAATTTAAATTGTTAGATAAGTACCACCACCCTCAATTCAACAAAAATTAAATTTTTACAAATTCCTTTGCTCCATTCCACCCCCCCCCAACACACACACACACACAAACACACACACACACACTTGTTCCTTCTTCAAGATTAGGTCACATGATATGTATCTCAAGCTGGCTGTAACTCTTAATGCATCTAAATATGACCTCAAACTTCTGCTCTTCCTTCCGAGTGCTGGCATTACAGATATGTGCTACTACCCCTGTTATAAGTGATGCTAGGCATGGCCCAGGACCTCAGAAGGACTCTACCAAGTGAGCTGCATCTCCAACCATGAATCCATTTTTATTAGTGGATAGAACCATCTAACACAATATTGTCTTATAGGAAAAAATAGGGTATTTTAGACCTTAACTCCACTTATATATCCACTTTTGTCAAACTCCTTAAGGTACAAATGTTACCAGC